CCAGTAAAATAAACAAAAATGAAATTAAATTGAAACCTCACGGGGGAAAATTGCCATACCAAATTAAATAAATACATTAGTTGAGTAATGTGCTCGAAAATGAGTCCATTTGGCTCCATTAACGAAGCATTTAAAAATATTTTAAGACGAAAGTGGTTTCAACAGCTTACCTTGCGTTGACGCAGTTAGAATGAGCCTTTAGTAGGCGGTTGAACTTTGTGGCCGTATCAAGATCAGAACAAATGATTTATCAGCTCTAAAATTATCCCAAAGGCTCAAATTTCAACGCACAAGATCTATTACTGATGCGTCTTCGGAATGCAATGAGGCGGGATTGGTTAATTCCTTAGATTGCGAACTGCCCAGTAAGAGAAGAGCTTCGATACTTAGATTTGTGTTGGGGATTGAGTAATAAACACTCCAAATGGTTTTAATTCGTTTAAAATGATTCAATGCCGCCGAGGTCGTCTGTTTAGCGCATGTTGCTAAACAGAATAATTGCAAATACAGCATGTTAATAGCTTGTTTATCTGATGTTCGGATGCACGTCAATTATTTTCGAGTAAACATGAATTGCTGTGTGCTATCAAGTAAACATGCATCATATTTGTGAAATAAAGATAGATAAAGTTAGCGGCTAACGTTATTTATACCAAATTCGGAGTTTGGATAAAGGATAACTGACATGTAACAATGATATTTTCAAATTTTCATTTTCCCCAAGAACTATTATTATAACCTGGAACAATCTCCCTTTTATCGAACTGCCTGCGAATATCAACGCTTTTAAAAGTGCTGCATTGACTGCATTAAGAACATCGGTATAATTTTGGTATGACACTTTTATTGTACATTTTTACTTTTAAAGTTTTTCATACATAGTTCATAGTTATTTTGTTAATGACTTATGTACCCTTATCTCTTCTGTGCTTATGTATATACATATATAATTATTACACTGGCCTGTAAGGCCAAGTGTCTTAAATCCCCCTTTTTCTGTTTTTTTCGTAGTCGAGAAATCGAGTTTGCGTTAGCTCATCGCAGGCTCAGGGTGCAACGATTAAGCCAAAATGCCATGGATTCCCTCGGTTCCGTGGTTTAGATTGTATAGTAATAAGCTCGTATATATGTACGTAATAGCCGACTCATGCCATGCTTGTGGTACATTTTTCGTTTATTAGCCTATACACTTGTACGCACGCGTACAATTCCGAACTGCAATGGCGGCTTTTCACAGAGTGATCAAATTATATTTTACACAGTTTCGTTGAATTTTCAAAGAATTGTGCCGGTTTCCTTTGTATTTTACGTTGTGTCGTACTCTGGACTTTCTTGTGTGTTGAATTAATGTGTTTTTCTCTGTGTAATGACTCGAAAACCACAAAATATAACACTTAGTACTCCACGAAATATAATCGGCACGAAAAGCTTTATGGTAGCTATACTAAAGATAAAGCGTGCGTTCAAAGTACCAACAAGAACTAGAACCATTATTGTATCATTTGTATGGTTCTCATTTGCTAGACTTGCCACAAGTCGACATCGAACGAACGAAATATAATCGGCACGAAAAGCTTTGTGGTAGCTATACTAAAGATAAAGCGTGCGTTCAAAGTACCAACAAGAACTAGAACCATTATTGTATCATTTGTATGGTTCTCATTTGCTAGACTTGCCACAAGTCGACCTCGAAGAAACGCATTTCGTTCGATGTCGACTTGTGGCAAGTCTACTCATTTACAATAACATTAGTTCGACGCGAATTTTAATACAAGTATGGTATCATATTTCATAATACAACAAACAATGTAAACTAGCCATACATTTTGCCGAACATAACTTCGGCCCCTCTGGACATATCTTTTTCGTGATAATGTTATTGGAACCAGAATCGAAAACACAATTTATAGTGTTATTTTCAAGCTTGTGTCTTGAGATTTTCATCTTTTATTTCGGTATTTACAGAATATTTATATTTTTAGCGCGGCCCATGGAACGCACATGAAAACAACGCGCTGTTAGGAAAAACCGGAAAGTCCATAAAATTTGCTTGCGGTTTAAGATTTGTATTCCTGCCTTTTGCACCATAGCACGTATCTCGTTATTTTCAGGCCAGTGTGAACGCCTGAGCAGGCGTCTTGTTAACCTTATAATGGGAAAGGTCATGTATTTGGCTAAAAATTTCTTGCAGTTAAAACAAATTTGTTGGTATATTTTAACTGTTTTATAAACTTCCATACTTAAATGGAACGATTGTGATAATTTTATTTAGCTGTCAAATAACTGGTCGGAACTATACTGCCGTCGAATACCTCTAGCCTGCGCCGCAGACGATATATCATATTTGCTCCCGTATAGTTTATATTTCATAATACGGAACGCAAACCAATGTACAAACTGTTCCTCTTTTCGCCTAGACTCGTGTTTCTTCATCAGTATATCCAAGTAATTTGGGGAAATTATCTGATGCTGCTAATACATAACATATATCGATTTAAAGTAATATATCGACAGCCGGACAGAGAAACATACTGACTGTTTTGGTTAGTCGCGTCAAAAAACCTAGCTATACTATAGTTCTCGCAAGAATATTTGTTTGTTGAATATGTTCTATTATAAAATGCTTTCATATTATATTTGTGTACGATGTATTTTTGAGATATTCATATATAAACACATAGTTCCATTTGACAATATATATAGCAGATTTAGCTACAGTGCAATCATACCTGCGAAGTATACTACAGCCTACTACAGTTTATTATTTATACTGCGCAAGATCCGTAACCGCATAAAATAATAGTAACATACAGTATACTAGTGATTTAAATTCCTTAAGATACGCAGCTTTCCCTGAAACAGATTTCATATCTTTACGGACACTTAATTTTATCATTTAGTTACAATTCCAAATGTTTTTCATGATGGTTTTCCGTGAGATCATAGTACATCTACCACTATATATCAGATTACCAAGGCATGTTGTCTTTAATAGCGAGAAAACGGCTCCCTCATCTCCGCTTAAATAAAGGCATGTGCAACTGATTTCTTTTGTAAACTATAACTCGGTCTTCTGTAGTTATATTAATGTAAATAAAACTTGCGTAAGGCACACAATAAGCTTTTATCGAAGTCAAGAAACCAGCTAACTCAAGACGCACAGCATGAGGTGAAGTAAACAAATATGAACCTCGCGTGACTTGCATGTCAGATCTCCTTGGCAATAATCTATCGAACTAAAAAGGCAACACAGCGGCAAGTGAAGCAACATGGCGCAGCATGAACGCGTATAAAATGCAAATGCGTTCGTCAAAGAGACTTTTCCCCACACCTTTCTCCGGCACTGCTATCCATTTAGACTTGTTAAATAAATGCTATTCTTCAACTTTGCCTTGAAAAGTTTCTCCGAAATCAAGTTTCAACAAAAATATTTAAAAAAAAACAAGGAAAAATGCCGAATTCTTAGCTATTTCTGCTAATAATTCCGGCAATACTCCGAACCCAGGAGGGTTTTCAAGGGGGGATTGTAGGCCATGCACGTGCGATGCTGTGGGACCCCTAGACAGTACAATTTGTCCTTCTCGGCATGATTCTCATCGCTCAAAAGGCGAAAATACATGGCCACAACAACACCAACATTTTACCGTTTTCAAATAACCGTATAGGTTATTTGTGCGCACGAGCTAATAGACGGTTCGATGTAGTACAGATTGAGCAAGTATCGTTTTAAAACGTTGAAAAATAAACGCAAACAGGAGCGCCAAAGACGCAGTATTTGAACCGCGCCATAATTTACAGCTAGGAAACCGGAAACCAATATACGCGGGCAATTTGACTCCGGGAGCAAACGGTTAGCAGAAATTTTTTTTGGGATCACTTTCTTTGGGAGCTTGGTAACCTCGCCTGTTATGATGCAATATAGGAAGCCTGCACAGCAGGAAATAGATGCGGTCGAATTTTTTGACGTGACTTATATATTGTATACTTATTCACATTAATATCGCTGCGGTTTTGACGCATTATTCATTGGGTCCTTCCAAAAGCTTTGTACCCATAAATAAAATGTAATAAAAAGAGAACACATTACAAATTTTTTTTATAAAATAGATCAAAATATACCATAAATATCGAAATATTGAATTTCGTTTTGAATACTATGCTAGTATAAAGGTCATAAGTTCGTGCGTATTCGAAATATAGGCAGCGTTTACACTGTACCGTTCTCGCATTGTTCGAGAGAACTAGACTATTGTCTTGCGTTCCCTTGAGGATTAAGAACAATACGAGAACGCTACGAAAACGGTGCAGTGTAAACGCTGCCATAGACACATAGAATACATTCAAATTATTCAATTAAGTAAAATTAACTATGAATTTATTTTAAAAGATTCCCTGTTTGTATTATATTGTGCACTTTGACTAATACTGTGTGAGTCGTGTGAGTGTATGTCACAGATAGTGATTAGTCTCGGTTGAAACGTGATGTTTATACTAGCCGACAAATATGCAAACCACACACTCGAATGCTTATTTGCGCACTGATGTCTTTATCATGATTATCATGTTTTATATCAAAATTTGCCTGGGCGCAATGCAGAATTTACGTAAATAAGACACGTTTATAGATTTTGCATTATAAACTGTGTAAGCTGAAGGCGATGTACAAATTCAGTTGTAGTAACTTCTAACTGATATATTTTACATTCGTACTTCAGCATTCAGTTTACTTCAGGCTATTATTGACCATTATTGCCACACACGCTAAATTAAAGGTTAATGATAATTAATGGTATAATAGACTTTATATGGAGTACCTGCATAACCCCAAATTTACATCAAGTGTCCCAACAAATCCAAATATGTACCCTGAATAAAAGTCGCGGTTACCAAGCCTCCCACGGAAAGTGATCCCCAAAAAAATTTCTGCAAACGGTTATGGCTAAAGGGGATGGACGAGAGGTAGGTGACCGTGAGAGGTCTGGGTCTAGTTGCGTGTTTATCTCGTGTTCGTGGTACACGCGAGAACAACTCACTTAGTGAAAAATTTCCAAACATTCGCACAACTGAATGTTGATATAAAGATATTTTATATGGTTTTTCCTCCAGTTTCTCTGTAAATTGCAACGGTAATCAATGTTTAATACGCAAAAGGTATGTATCTTGCGGTACAGAATCTGAAATATTATATTCTCTGCGAACAGCTGCCGAACTGTGTACATTTTTACGATTAAAATGTCAACAACATCAACTTTATAAATAATCCAGTCAAACATGTCGTATTGTATCAGATAAATAGTACAAATGGCTGGTGCTTAGAATAATATGTATCATAGGTTATACCCCATTTGAAAATTCCTAATATTTAAAGTACTGAAACTGTGAAACATGTGCTAAAAGGTAGCAGCATAAGTATTACGGAATAACCATATGGTATTACTATTAGAGGTCATTACTGTAGATACATGTATTTAGGCCATATAAAAAAAAATAGTTGGTTAGCGTCCTTAGCTTTTGCCAAAAAGTGGGCGGGCGGGCGCTTTTTTTAAAATTTTTACTAATTTTTAACGCCTTGGTTTTACTCACTGTTAGGTCCGAAACTGGATTTTCTTGCGCAGTACAGATATTTTTTTATATATTTCAAAATATAATTCATACCGTCACTTTCGCACGCAATTTCGCAAATTATTAACACAATTGACTACAGTCAACAGAAATACTACATATATTAGAGCCCGTTGATCAATAAAAGTCGTGTTTTTTTAAATAAAAAATAAAAAAAATCCTGAGCGGGGCCTTTTTTGTGGGCGGGCGGGGACGCTAACCAACTATTTTTTTTATGTGGCCTTACAGTGAATATTAATTAACAAACATTTAATAACCCAGGGTGCATTGTAAACTCTATGCCGAAGATACGCCAATATTAACTATAGATAGTATTGTAATTTGCCAAACTCACGCCGACGATATTCGGCATATTGCATTTAAAATGCATGCACCCTGGCATTTAACGAATCCAAGGATGTTTGCAAGCACTTTAATTTCATGAGTGGCGAATTTTATGATCTATTTTATACTACTATGGTGTGACTATGCGTAGTTGTGTATTAGCCTAGTAGTGTTCCTGGTACACTAATTGCCAGTGAGATCATAGACGGATTTAATTTCATATTTTTTACTGGGGTGGTGCCAGAAATTTTAGGGGGGTGAGCCGTGAGCAGGTGACTGAAGCAACAAAGTGTCACCAAACCCCATTCTAGGGGTGGAGCGCCAGAGCTGCAAGGGGGAGTCTCAAAGTATCCCTGGAAATATTGGAAAAAAATCATGATTTCTAGCTTTGTAAAAAAGTTTTTTGAAGTTGTCATTAGTGATATCAATGGATTTGGCCCGTATGATTGTCTGTTGAGACTTGAGAGAGTTAAAGTTAAATTAACCTGTAAAAGTCTAAACCCAATAGGCCAAATAATACACAATATGGTTTTACTTTTATAAAGTCATTGACATTGTGTCGTTTGAATCCGAGTACAATTTATGATACAACTCCGATAATATTTGGGGTGTAAAGATTAAATCTAGGCAAGTATATTTCCTAAAAGAATTAAAAACTAAAAATAATATATAATAGCAAGCTATTTGCATGACTTGAAGGCACTGCAAACTCTATTCAGGGGAGATAATAGAGTTTCAAAACTTTACAATTGCTCCAATAAACCAGTGAATGCAAGCGAGGAGCGATTAGTTTCAGAGTGTTGCACTGTCTTTTTCTGTTCAAGTGTACTCCTACGTTTATTTTGTATTATCAACACTCTGCATGTTGGAGTGGACTATTTAATTATTTCTTATTATGCCGAACATTGGGGGGGGGGGCGGGGTTGAAATTTTTTTGGAGGGGTGGACATTTTGTTTGGGGAGGTTATAGCTACACACACAAAATCTGTCTATGAGTGAGATGTAGGTATAGTCAAATCTGAACCTCTCTAAATGCCTTTTTATGATAAAGCCAATTTGCAAAAATAATTCTGCTGCACAATTTTTTAATCTGTAAATATTGGAAAAGCATTGAGTATCAAAACCCCAAAATACAATCCAAATGCAGGAAATGCTATTAATTTCTTTGACACATTTAATAAAGCATACTAAAATCTCAATCTTTGTCTGAAATACAGTGGTAGACCTAAATGCTTGTAATATCCCAGCATTCGTCTCTGATTATAAATACAAGCTAACCCAAATATTCAGCTACTGAACATTAGCTTCATGGTGGTGTGCAATATATTTACATTTAGTATTAAGTTAACTTGATAAGTTGTTTGGAAGTACTGCACTGCTCATTTTTAGTTACATGTAAGGGATATACTGGTTAGTGATTTGCCAGATACCGGATGGTACTGTGTTGTAGTCTACTGACCAGTCACCAATCTGGGGAAAATGATAACTGGATTATATATTATAATAAGTGGATACTGAACGCTACGAGGAGTCATGGACAATATTTTACTATTTTTCCTTTTCCCATAATTTGTTCCATTGGCACAGAGGTCAGCAGGCAATCTGACTACAGCAGTTTACATCATGCAAACATTCTCTGCATGGGACATGCCCAGTAATTACTCCTGCTTCACATTTTTAACACACACAAAAATCAAATGAAACAATTTTCAGTTTCATGGTTAATAAAGTTCCAGACCTATCCAGTAAATATCCAGCAAATTTTAATTATCAGATGTCTGATGTGAGTGGTATCTGGATCCAGCACATCTCTAATTTTAGCAATACATTAGACTAAAGTTTGTTTTGTAACAAAAATTGAACCAATAAACCATAAGATACTAGATATTTGCAGGGTCTGAAATTTATATTTTTTCTCAGTATCCAACTGGGATACCAGGATTCATAGTTTAGTACCCCCCCCCCCGAGAATCCAGCATCCCACTTCTGGTTACCGGTACCATAAATATTAATGTATTATACCCTGTCCCATCCAAATAAGTTGCCATAACTCTCACTGTTGCAAATTACAATAACAACAGGAGACTCGCCAGTCAACAACTAAACAATTCATTAATACACTGAATTGTACATACAGTAATCATTCAACAAACTTCTAATGTATATGGTAGTCCTCAATGAGGAAAGGCTGGCAGCAAACTGATAGTATTCAAAAGCCATCAGGAGCTCGTCAAAGGTGTGTAAGTGGTTTTGAATACCCAAACCGTGACTGACTGGATACTAAGAAAATTTCAAACATTAAATGTTTGAAATTTTCTTAGTATCCAGTCAGTCACGGTTTGGGTATTCAAAACCAAATTTTTGGTATCGCGTGGATATCGGGATACTGCAAATTTCAGACCCTGTATGTGGCACAGTACTTAGGGTTGTCCCCTCCCATAACAATACATGTTTACTTTGTATGTGTGCAAGTTTATAAATATAATATTTTATATTCTACATATAGTGTTTTATATCATAGTATTTTATATTCTACGATATTATAAAAGACTTTGCTTCAATTACAACATTATTTTCAGTTAATTTATGTGGAAACATTGTCAACAATTGGTTTTGGAGGCATTGATGCAAATGGCTTCTCATCTGTGATTGAAAAAACACCAGATTCTTCAAAGAAATTCCTTTTGCCAAGGCAAGAGCGTTTGCAATTGCAAAAAGGCCACAATCACTTTCTCCTATCTGGTTCTGGCACATACAAGCTTTCACTCTAACTGGTTGTTGTTCATCTGTCCTGTCACTGTAAACATGTAGAAGCTGACAACCAAGCGTTGATGAAATAGATGGTTTCATTGAGTCGTACACAGTTATATTCCCACCAGATACACTTGAAACTACCCAGTGCATATTGCCAGAATGGTGTATTTGGATACCACATGTTGCTGTTGATGGACAAGGTGGTGATTTCTTACTGGCTACACGTAATGAATTTGCTAGACCCTTCACATTTGGAAACTGTTTGTGAATAAGGTCTTGAGCAGAGTTAATGATACTGTCATTTAGCCATGCATGATTGCTTTGCAATATGTCCTCATCTTCTTTCCTAAGCCCAAGGGAAGGAACCCACATTGTGCTACGACTCGGTTTTTCTGCATTGTCATCTTGACATGTTAAATTAAGTCAACAACATTCTTTGGTGGATTTTTTATATATTTGGGAATTGTCCTGGCAGGAACTTTGTTTACAGAGATGTTCACTCTGTATTGCTTCCTCATAATTTCTGCACGGCGTCCAACTCGTTTGGCAAATGGATGACGAGGCTTACCATATTTTCTTTCAGGAAGGCAATCTTTAACATCTGCTTTTTCTTTCCTTGCTCTTTTTGGTAATTTCTTCCTCATATTTCCCTCTTCATTCGTTGAAGATGTTGTTGCCTTTCTCTTCTTTCTCTTTTTCTGACCAGTCTCATTTTCCAAAACGATGCCTTTGTCTGATTTGACCAATTGTTCAGTTTCTTTAAATATCTGTTGAAGTTGACCTTCGAGTTTCTCAAGGCTTGGCGTATCCTTTAACAAATAAGTCAGTCCGTTTACCTTTTTTAAAATAACTCTGCATTTAGCCTGCAAAAGTTTTTTGCTTGTTTTTCTTCTTGGCGGAAGATCTTGTGTTTTACCAGGATCATTTAAACCATCTTCAACTTCAAATGTTGTGTTTTCGTTGGTCACATCACTTATTGCATTACCAGATGCCAAGCTAGATAGCTTGAAATAAAAATTAAGCAAACTTTCAGATAGATTATCTACACTACGACTACCATGCAAAATTGCATCGGAAGGTAAAAGGGAATGTAGCCAGCACTGTCTAGTATATTGTCCTTTATAAGATTCATTTTAACTACAGAAAACATAAGTTAAACTGATCAATCTCTCTTTTATTTAGTTGTCTTCAAACACAAGACTACTAGTAAGCATGTAATAAAAGGGATTTAACGTTATTTTCTTACTCTGACAACTACAAATCGACTATCATCATCTGTATCAATAGACTGCTTTGTACAAGCCCGACTTACCTTTTCTTGTTCCTGACGATTGTCTTGGGATACTGCTGGAGATTGGTTCAGGCAGATCTCGTCTAGATTTAATATGGAGAGGCTTTTGTACAATGGGCTTAAATCATTCCATTTTCGTTCTGTATTTTTGAATACAGCACAAAAATGTTTGCAGGGAAGCTTAGTTTTGTTCCAGTCTGCGCATTGACAACTTGGATGGCTTGATTCATCACCAAAATTGACAGTATACCACTTGTCAGAAGAAGTCGTGCTCTGAACTAAGTATTTCTCATCCTCCGTTTTTTTAACAGCCTTACTTGTGTGCCAGCAATCTTCCCATCTTTTCAAAACATGGGCAACCACAAACCTTGGACGGTTCCGTAAAAACTCGGGAATATCTTTGTTGTACATTCGATAGCCTGACGAATACTGGACATTCAGTGAGACATATCTGCAATAATAATAAAGACATGTTGTCTCTTGGGAGGCGAAGACATAGGTAACGAAGAGTGGAAGCTGAGAACAAATGAAGTCTTAGTTTCACTAATATGTGATAACGCTGAAAGATTCTAATGACGAAAAAACGATGACAGCTATTATCTTGACAAAGCGTAGTTGTCTGTCAAAATTTATGCAATTAAACAGTGTTATAAACTTACTTTAAATAGGAGTTAGGCAGAAAGTTTTCAATGACCACAGACAGCATTTCACTAAGAGAGCAATTTCTGTAGCCAACCAGATATTCATATTTTAATGCTTCATTCTGACGCTCTACACCATTGTTTGTATGGACTGCCACTTCCATGTCTTCTATGCGAAATGCTTGTACCCATCTCTAAGAATGTAAAATAAACATTTGTGAACGACACACAAAAAGGCTTCAAACAAAAGTATTAACCGAATTTGAAAGTAAGAATAAGATTTTTCGAAAGGTTTTTCGTATTTGGATGGATGAAAAAGTGTTTGAAAAGAATGATTATGAATTTAAATTTTAAGGTATCAAGACGAATCGTTTTTGCATATCCTAAACAACACGGCATCTCGTGCTGTATTTATTTATTGGAAACATTTATATAAAGTATAACTGATTTTAAACTATGCACCTTTGCATTTGGTAACCACTTTCCTTCTTGCCATTTTTGGAGTTTCAAGGAAGACTTCCATAAAGTGCTTTCTTTCATGATTTTCACTGCATCTTCAAACTCCTTTGTTGTGGTTGAGCGGGCAATAGAACGAAGGTAGCGCAGAATCTCATCTTTGTGCTCACTTACACCATGGTCAGATTTGCTGATCCATTCACCTCAAGCTTTTTCTCGATGGAAGTCACATAGAAATACAGTGCTTTCTACAATGGATAATTATTTCGTTATAATTATTTATTATAATCTTGTAGACAATATAATTCCTAGTGGTGATAATTCACACTCGTCTCTCTATAGGTTTTTACATCGACTCAGTATCGTCATATATAAGCCATAGATACACCAAGTAATAAAGAAGATCTTGGATATCAGTATACAATTATACTGATATCCAAGATCTTGTTTATTACTTGGTGTGCACATGGCTCACATGGTTCAACATATTGCAACTATCGGTTCTCAATTACTTGGCACAAACTGGCAGATAAATATTCCAACATTTCATGTTACGTGTAAATTTATATTATTACTGATTTTCAACAGATTCTACTGTCCTACTTTATCCAGACTCCAGAGTACGATTATAAATTTGTCTATTTTAATCTGATGAAGGCAGCAAAAAAGACATAATAATTAAAACTAACTGCACCACAGCTTACCAGGAAATATAGACTCTATAGCTTGTATCTCCTCATCTGCAAAATCTACCATAAAGTTCTGTTGTTTCCAATGAGGGTTCCAACGTCGCAATATCGCCAGTGCTTCTTTAATGCTATCAATGTCTTCTTGTTGAATGACAAAGAGTCCAACAACTTGGTAGCCGACATTGGTTTTCACACAAAGGAAAAAGAGTGGAAGTGCATACCTTGTTGTTCGGTAAGTGGCATCAAGAAGGCACATGTTTCCATATCTTGCAAGTAATCGGCGTTGTTCTTCAGACTGGTAACAAAACAACAGATTATTGTGTTGTGTAGGAGATGGCGTAGCTTTAATATCGTCAATATCATCTTCAGTGTCTTCATCATCAGCCCCAGAGGTAGACGCATCTTCAGGCTTTTTATCTGTGTCGGGCTGGGAAGTGTGAGCTCTGAAGAAGAACATGTCGCCTGGCTTTTGTGCTTTCCAGCTAGAAACCAGGTGCTGCAGATAATCTTGGTCAATGTGGGTGAAACGTTTTTCTCTCTTAATTTTACCGATCTCGTTTGCGATATCCTTCCTTCTGGGAAAATATCTTCTTCTTGTTTTGGGTGGAATAGCTGTGCCTTTGAAAAGGTCGTTCTTTACATAATGCTCCAAGTATCTTTTGACATCACTCACTCGTCTAACGCTCATCCCAATCAGTTCTGCTATCTTGTCTTTAATTGCAGGATCTATTGCTTCACAAATACCTGCTGCCTGTAAAATAATTAGGTGACTAATAAATAAATATTGCAAATAATCATATGTAATCGACTAGTGTATTTAATAAATGGCTTACTATATGTAGGAGAGGGAGAGAAACACCCAATGTTTCATTTATTATAACATTCTTTGGATTTAATTGCTTTTCACAAATGCATCATGATTTTACACACACACACATAATACAGTACATGAATTGCTCACATCTTTACTTGAATAAAGGAATAATGGTTTTAATACGTGCACTTCTTAATTGGCATCTTGTTTTTAATATTTAATCTTGAAATATCTTTTTTATTTCCCTGGGCTGTTACATATTTGGGCTAACCTTTATTTGGATATTGGGTTGTTATGTTATTTTTATTTATCTTAACATGAACATAAATATGACTTTATAACCAAGAAAAGATGTAATCCAATTGTATCAGTAAAATTCACTTTTGAAATTATGAACAAATGGAACATGTGTTGATTACGCGAATTCTAAATGTGATTATAGCACCAACACGTCCGTATAATAATCGGAATTTAAACACTTAACGTCGGTAAATTATATACGTTTTATGATGAATATTACCTCTCCAACTATGTGATTAATATGTTCATCTGGTCGTGGCAATTTGACGTAAAATCTGGACTCGTGTTTGGCACTCCCCTCCTTAATAGAGTCGCGCAAGGTTTTGGAACTTTGCTTCCTAAACCATGCAGTATTACGTGGAATCTATAACATAACGTAACATAAAATTCATTAATAAACACATATCCTCTTGATTGTTTTATTGATTTGGGCTTAATTGAAATACAAGTAAGGTAATATGTCTGTTTAAAAAATTATACTTAAGGATACGTAAATAAATTTATCATTTATGACTTGGCAATAATATTAACTGGTAACCAGACTACAAAAGTTATTTGAAGACCAATTTCTTCAACGATGGATTTACTGGAGGGGTGCACCCCCCTAGCCCTGGCAAGAGGGGGTGCAGGGGGTGCTATTTTTCATGATAAAACAAAACATTATTAGAGGCCAAATGAGATACAGTAATTTGAGTAATAACATGATGATAACCGAACTGTGAACAACAATTACAATTCGAATACAGTAGTCAAGCAAGACTTTGCAGTAGTGAAGCAAGTTGATGTGCGGGCGGCACACATGGCCGACACAACTCGGCACCAGAGCTGGCAGATCATGCTGGATCCATCCCTGGCTTAAACCTTCAGTATTTTCCCACAACCAATTCTCAACATAATATTAAAACAGTCGAATCGTTCAGACCTCTGCTTGCTCCTCTCTTACTAAACATTCATTTCTACTTTTATTTTTTTAGGCAGTAACAGAACTTTTATTCTTTAGTAGCCACTTTTAATGCCACTACTGATATGTCTATGATGTGCTCACTGTATACACAGGCCACAGTGGGACTTAAATTCTACCATATAACATATTCCATCAAGATATGGTCTGGAAAACTCTACAAACTTCACCATGCACAAATATTTTGAAGTTTTAATTGTAGTAACAGTACAGCTGGGTACTGATGCGAGGAGATCCTGCGTTGGATGGATTATGTCTATTTTTGCCTCAGACATGCAATGAGCCTCAGTTTTAAAATTATCTTCAAATTTGCATATACTGTATGCATGCAAAAACGTTCGCCGAGTTTCAGATCATGTCTTTCTCTATTGAACTAATTCAGTAATTGTCTTGACTTTAATGCTGCTGGAAAATTAAAGTTGGATTTCACTAATTGATTAAGATTGTCTACCTTTATGAATGTCTATCTTTTATGCAATTGACACTTGACAGTGTCTAGCATTTGGACTTTTGTTCTTTTAAATCGATATCAATTGAAATCTATTTAATTTTATTTTTTAAAGTAAGAATAGATTTCATAATTCATAAATAGATTGCATGTAAACTTTAATATATAAATCATACCTTGTTCTCAGGAAACTTGAAAACATGTTTGACAGAGATAGATGCTGGACAATCCTTCTTTTTCGTATTTTGTATAAGAAATCGTTTCTTGAATGTTTTGTCATAATTATGTTCCCCAATCTAAATTATAGTACAAACGTGATTTAGGGGCCGATTACATGGCCATGGGCGAGTTGTCCCGGCTAAGCGAGTTGAGTCGCTTTGCCGAGTTGACCCGCTTCCTATATGTATTGTCTATTATTTTGACATTTCGATTACATGCAAAGCGAGTTGTCCGTGACCGCGGCTGTAGCTTGCCGAGTCAACTCGCTTAGCCGGGACAGAAATTGCCCACACATCCCATGTAATCGCTTTTTGCCGAGTTAGCTCAGCAAAGCGGGCTGAAAACCACACTTGTGCATGTTTTAATTTATTACGATTTACGGTTATATATACAAATATAAGTTAAAAAAACTTCAAATAACATCAAAATGATATTAATGAACGTTTTCAAGGTTTAGATAGGAAGCGACACAATTTTGTTAGAATAGAAACAGTATAAGCCTGTTGGGAGTATAAATACCTCAACCAAGAACATTTAGTGGGTAAAGTGGTCCTCAAATACACCATTTTTAATCGATTTCTAACATCGAGTATTAAATTGTTAAGCATTACAAATCTTAATAAGCTACTTCAGCCCGGCTAGCCGGGTTTATTATTTTTATTTTATTATTATTATTATTATTATTATTATTATTATTATTATTATTATTATTAAATTGAAACCACATTGCAGCTAGAAGCTGAATTGCGTGGATTACATATTATCACATGCACTACATATAAATATATTATTAATACAATATTATAAAACCCACCCTCGATCAAAATTCGATTAAAATAAGCATAAAATCTATCCTACAAACTTCCTACACATAGCAGGGATAAAAGAGTTATAAAAGTGGTTCGTGCGTGTAACGTACATATTAAAATACCGATTCGTCCTGAAAGAATACTCAGTCTCGTTCTTCGGGGGCAGCAGATGATGAAGTTTATGCATTGGATCCTTGATGATACTCGTAAAGAGTTTGTCACACATGTCCTCTCTTCTTTGAAATAGAGTAGGCAGTCTAAAATACTCAAGGGCCTCACAATATGTCATTTCAGGAGATAAAATTTTTAGCACACGTTTCTGGACAGTCTCAAGTTCGTCTGCCAAATACTTTGGGATGGAATGATGGAAGGCTTGGGCACAATACTCGAGCACAGGCCTGATCACTGTACAATAAAAGTTCAAGACATCATTGACATTTACGCCTGCCCGTTTCAATAATACTATAAAATAGAGGCGTTTATTAGCTTTCTTTATACTCTCTCTGATGTTATCTTTCCACTGAAGTGTGCCTGTCATAACAAGACCCAATATTTTTGCACTCTCAACTATAGGCAATGCTTCTCCACCCACCAGTACAGGATCAAAAGGTTGTTTAATTTTTTTAAAATCGATTCTCAGTTCTTTACATTTCTCAGCGTTAAGAGATAGCCCATTTGCCTTCGACCAATCTTCCACAACATCAACTGCGACTTGAACACGGCTCTCTGTGTCCTTACTAACTACTTCAGCAACTGTTGTGTCATCAACAAACTTCCACCTCGATATATCACAAATATCAAGATCGTTTATCATTAAACAAAATAGCCAGGGCCCTAATTTTGTACCTTGAGGGATACCGGAAAGTACATCTCCCCACTCCGAATAACAGTCATTGGATAATTTCACTCTCTGCTTTCGATTCATCAAAAAATCGATTGTCCAGCGAGCAACCGCACGTGGAATAGCTAAATTGGAAATTTTATCGGCCAGTAAAGCATGATCGATAAGGTCGAATGCTTTTCTATAATCGAACAGGGTGACTCTGACAGCAGAGCCAGTGCCATCAGTAGCTTGCGACCATTCATGGATCATAGATATAACAGCGAGAGTAGTTGAACTTCTTGGTAATACTCCATATTGACTTGGATCGATTATACTCATGATAGCTGGAGCAATGTATTTTTTAACAACACAGTCCTCAGCGATTTTCGAAATAGCGGCAGTAAGTGAAATTGGTCGTAACTGCTTACAAATGTCGCTAACGGGCTTAGTTTTTATGAGGGGCACAATGTTGGCAAG